CTTCCTGCTTATTTTTGTGGATCTTACCATCTCCCTAAATTAGGGGGTTTACTGCATGTGGCCCTCAACTTAATTTTATTAGCTGAAAACTTAATTTCAAAAGTCCTTTGCGAGTTCAGAGCTTTGGCACACCCCCCCCCCAAAAAACACACAATGTGTGTTGGGAGGGGGTGAAATAAGAAGAGAAAAGGCATGCCCACTTCCTCCCCTACTTTTGGCTCTGGGGTCACTCAAACCTGAGGGAATATGGACCTCAAGAGGAAGAGAAATTGCCCACCCATGCCCTAAACACTGTGATTGCATGCTCAGGACACCAATTCTCAAAATCAGACACACAGTTTTTGCATTCTTGTGAGATCTGGTACTCCTCAGTCATTAGACTTTCTCATTGTGCTATGCAATGCAATGGACTTAAAGTTAAATGGCACGTTGTTCCCCATTCAAAAACATAGATTTCATATTCATATACTCTTGGCTTGATTGGTCCAGTGGGCTGATTTAAGGTTACAACAGTTTAGAGTAACAGAAAACAATCAACAGTTATTCATTATGCTCCATTATTCTACCTGAAAAAAATGTGGCTCTGATTTCATTTCAGCCGATTTCCTTTTAGACCAAATGTAGTTCTCCAACAGGATGAATCATATTGCACATCATGTTGCTCTTTGCCTTTATCTTTCCCATGGACACTCAACATCTGTTTTCCAGAAAAACAGAAATTGTACATGTAAACAACGAGCATCACCTTTGAAAACAGATGTTTTCAGCCCAATGATATGACATTGATTCAAACCTTTTCAGCTGTTGTCAGTTGATAGATTTCAATTGAATCTATTTAAAGACTTGGCTTAGTGATATTAGTGGATTCAGAGGGCAGAATGTGTTTGGCTGTGTGATTTACTGCTAAACAAAAAGTGCAGGGAAAGAGAGGTCAAGCTGTGCAAAGTTTTGTTGTTGTTGTTTTTTAATCTATCATTCTGGAAAGAGAATTGCTCTATTTTGATTCTCTGATTTATATCCACTTCCCTAGGAGCATGCCCCACTGGAACTTAATGCTGAGTAGAGACATGGAAAATGAGACTATCAATGGCTGCTAGTCACAATAGCTATGTTAGACAGTTTGGCTCCAGATGCTAGTTGCTGGGAATCAGAAATGGGGAGGGGGCTGTTGTGCTCGGGTCCTGGTCCTGTTCTTTCTACAGGTATCTTGTTGGCAACTTTGAGAACAGGATGCTGAACCAGATGGGCAGGACTCTCAATATTAGTATTATTCATAATAATAGTTTATGCCCACCTTTTTCCCTGACTGGGGCTTACAGATAAAGACAGGAACAACTAAAACATAAGGGAAAAGCAATAATTTAAAAATAGCTAACCACAGATAGATATTTTATTAAAACCATACAAATAATCACAATAAAAACAGCATAGCACCAGCCCATTCATTAAAAGTGGTCAGTTCCCAAAAGACTGTTGGAACAATGAATTGGAAAAGCAACAAGGAGGGAGCCAGTCTAGCTTCTCTAGGGAGTTTCAAAGTCTGGGAGCAGCCATTGGCATGTCTAGGATTATACTGTTAATCTGTCAGTTTTTTTGATGCACTGTGTCTGGGTTGGATGGGACATCTAATTCGTTTTCATTATCAATGCAAAAGACCCAACAGTTGTCACTGACTTCATCTGTGCGGTAATCTTGTGAAAAGGGTTAAACTGAAAATGCTCACATTATTTATCTTTCCCATGTTTCCACCCAAAGGAGCCCAGAGAAACAATGGACAAAGCAGTAAAACGATACAATAAAAAATAAAGCAAAACATTAAAAAACCATTAAGAACATCTCCATCATTTACAAGCATGAAGAACATTAATAAGCTGACCTGGGGCCTCTCAGTGTTCCAAATCGCTGTAGAATACAGGCTTTGGTTATCGCTGGAGTTTAACTTAAAGAGGTTTCAAGATCTTCCCCTCTCTTCTTCTTTACACTGGCCTGCTCAACATGGCAAACCCTTGCCAGAGGAAAATGCCACTTTTCATCTTTTCAGGGGTTTCTTGCTAGATCTGTTTTCAACAGCAGACAGATTAGCTGCTAAGAAAAAACTAGACATGAAGGTGATGTTTATCTCCTGCTGCATCTTCTGAACAGCATCTTTGAACAGGGAGGTTCTGTTGAGATACTGACAGATCTACCTTTCATGAAAATCCCTGTGTCAGCCTTCCTCAACCTGGTGCCTTCCAGACATTTTTGATTACAATTCCCATCAGCCCTAACCTCCATGGCCAATGGTCAGGGAGGATGGGACTTGTAGTTCAAAGCTTATGGAGGATAGCAAGCTGCTTTAAGCCTAAGGTGTTTCTTCCCTGTGCTCATCCAGACAAGTTGGGGTGTCCAATTACAAACGTAGGATGTCTCAGACACTAAGCAAGGATCATGTCTCTCGACCAGTAATTTCCAAACGGAGGAATCCTGGAAGGTGCCTTGAATGGCCCTAGATCGGTGTTTTGTTTTGTTTTCAAATATTGGGACACACCCTGAAATGAGTATTTAAAAGTGTTCCCTGAAAGTAGAACATTTGAAAAGCACTGCCTTAGACTAAAAAGTCTCATTTGTTTACTTATCTTTCGCTCTTCATTGTGGAAAATGCAATTTTCACTAGTAACATATCTAATGAAGCATAATAATGCTTAAGGTTCAAACTTTGGGGTGTGTGAAAAAAACTCACTAACAAACTTTTCCATTGAAAAGCTTTCCTCTGTTTTATGTGTTTGTCTAAAAGATTTACCAAGGTAGTAGCATCATCTAGTGTGCCTATAAATTTGAAGGGAGAAGATCTCCGCGATTAAAGTCTGGCAGTTCCCTCTTCCCATCAACCAAGAATGACATGTCAAGCCTGTGATATGAGACACATCAATAGTAAATCTGTGTTGCATTACACATTATTTTAGCATCCTTTCTAGAGGAGTAAATATGAGTTGTTCATACACACTATAATGGAAAATAAAACAATTAAATGCTCTGTTGATGAATGTGTTTCCCTCAACTGATTCACACTTATGGGCAATATGTGTCCATTTTCTTGATAAGCATAACGATGCAATATGAAGCTTGGCAGACTTCCAAGCCAGTGAACATATTCCTTAATCAAGCTTCAGTGAGCTTCAAATTCTGACAAATTGCCCTCTAGTAATTATTATACTGATTGTGACATCAACCTTCCAAACAACGTTAAATGCTATTAATCAGAGTTAAAGGCCATTAATCAGAGCATCAAATATGAATGCACTGACCACAGCCAAATTTCCATTTGCAATCTCACTCTCCTGAAGATGTTTTGGCTCAAGCAGAGCAATATGATTTTATGTGAGCTTCCCCCCCCCCCCCAACCAAGAACCAAAATTTTTCATGAACAGAAAATTATGGTAAATGAGAAGTATGCACCAGCTGTCTATGAAAGTGCTGTCAGGGTCAGCACTGGAGATGAACTGTAAAGGTGAGTGAACATTATGGTCAGCATCTAGGTTTGCAGTTCAATACAGTGGTGAGCAGGCCAAAACAGTGACCACCAGGGCAAACACAGCCTCACTTGATGGCAACCCACCAAAGGCTAACTAAACCTCCTGGGTTTCCCCTTGTCATGACTAAAGTCTTTGAGGGCGGAAAATGGAAAGTGCTAGAAGATTCTGGAAGATTCTAGAAGGTTGATTCCTGATGCAAATATTGTTTTGACTATCTCAAGGTCACGCTGAGCCAGGAGAGATAAATTCCTGCGCTCAGTGAGCCGTTGTCCATTTTTCTCTTACTTTCGTTTGTACCTCGTGCGTCTGAAGTTTTTTCTGAAGTTTTGTAACAAGCCTTTGCCTTTTAGTAAAAGTTTTTCCTTTTGGACCTTTGACTCTGCGTGGTTTTTTTATTTACTGCAAGACGCTGTCCGTCACCCCTGCCCTGTAATGTCTGGGATGGATAAAACAATGAGACTGTCTAACACCTTGTAGTCCAGAATATTGATTGACTGATTATTTAATTTCTACACCGCTTAATATATCAAAAGTAACTCTAAGCTCTGAACAGAAAACTGAAGCAACATATTACAATGGAAACAGCAGAATATCACTGTAGGCTTGCTTTTTATGGGCAGGTCCAAAGTACATGATACTTCCTCAGGCTGTCCACAGTGGTGTCCCATCCACTGTACTCTCCACACTCCGTTCCAGGTGCAGCAGGTTAACAGGTTTGTTGAGTTTCCTAGGGTGTCCAAAGGATGGGAAAGGTCCCCCACTCCACTCATAGCTCGTTCTTCACCCTTTGTCCTCTCCTCCTCCAGCTGTTTTACTGTCCATGGTAGCAAACCAAAAGTGGATATAGATAGATGATAGATGATAGATAGATAGATCTCTCTGTGTGTCAAAACCCCTTGTTTCAGGATACTCTGATGTGAAGTTATTACTTTGTAAGTTTCTTTGCTCCTGCTCTACTTCCTCTCTTTTCAGTTGGAGAAACGCATAGCATGGTGACTACATGCCAGGTGTCATCTTCAATGGATCAAGAGGTGGAACACCACTTGGAACACCAAGCATAGGACTCACTTCCAAGATCCTTGGGAGTGGAGCCTGACAGTAAAAGTGTAGAGACGATGAACTTAGAGAATTCTTGAACCAGACTAAGGAAGGCCCATAACTCAGTAGTAGAGCATTTACTTTACATATGGAATGTATTGGGTTCGATCCCAGGCAGCTGCAGGTAGGACTGGGAGACAGGGTATATCTGTGAAGAATACTGAAGATCAGTGACTGTCAACAATACTGAGCAAGATAGACCAATGGTCTGATTGTGGATAAGACAGCTTCCTCTGTGCCTAAGGTCAAAGAAAAGCAACACACTGAGAATACCTAGCAGCCAAGCATGCATGCAGATCCCATTTTATCCAAAAGGCACCCACTGCCTTCCAATCACAGAAGGGATCACAAGTATCATGTAGTCCAACCCCCTGTAATACAGGAATATTTTGCCCAACGTGGGGCATGAACCCATGAAGCTGAGATTAAGAGTCTCATGCTCCAGCGACTGAGCCATTCTGCTCCTTTCTTTCATCCTGCACATCCTGACTTTGCATTACTCTGCCCTTCCTCCTCCTATTATTCCAAGCCAACAGGAGAAAGCAAAACAGCATCCCTCCCCTTGCCAGACCTTCAAATCTCTAGGTATCTTTTGATCCCCTCCTGAACTGAGAGAGGCACTGATGGTGACTCTGCCTTCCCATAGGAGGAGGAGGAGGAGGAGGAGCTTGTGTTTCAATATCTGTCTTCCCTCAAAGCACATTTTGGTATCAACACCCACAGTTTGCAGATGTAAGTTACTGTAAAGGCATTCATTGATCCTTCCTTTGCACTGTGTCTACATGGCACAATGTAGTCTCTAATTAGCAAGACAAACAGAGACAAAATTTAAAACGTGTCTGAGGATGGAACATTTTCGGTGTCTTACTTGGTATTTATTGCTGTCGATGATAATGTGAACGCTGAGTTAAAATCTATAAAACATCCTTTAAAAATTAACCAAGACTGCTGACCTCTTCAATTTTTTGTGGGGTGGGGTGGCAGCAAAAGGAAAATATGAGAGACATATTTGCTAATTAATAAAAAAATATATGGCAGAAAGATCTGTTATATTCATTTTGCTTACATCTTTATTTATTGGTCGTCAAGATGGGAAGAATTAGTGTTCTGTTAATAGACTGTGTGAGGAGCATTTAACATTCTGATTCATGCGCTCCTTTCTCCTTCTCTTCAAAAGCTAAAAGTGAAAACGTTCCAGTTAATGCTTCCAGCACTGAACATTTTCAGGAAGGAGCATTGACTGAGCACACAGAGAAATCTGATGCTTATTGATTTAGTGGAAATGAAAAGTTCCTGCACAGCACAGAAGGACAATGAAGGCGCGTCCTCCCTGATCTACTGTACTCTGATGTGAATATGAATTTTGGGAATTGTACTTATTCTGCTGTCAACAGCTCAATGGATAATTAAGAAAGGGCTGTGAATTATGGAGCATCTGTGTGGGGTATGGTCCTGCATGCATGTGTGAGTTTGTGCATACACCTGGAAAGACTTCAAGTCAATCAATGTTATACAAAGGGATGGGGGAGAAATTTGATTTGATTCACACAGAGAGGCAAACCTACAGTTTCCAAAACAGCATGGAAATCGAGAACAGCAATCCTTTGAAATTCACAGTTGTCCAAGTTTTGAAGTACAGTTCTCTAGTCAAGCAATGCATATTAAAATGCTAGGGTAAAGTGTACGTAAATATATTTTTGAAAATAACATGAAAAGAGACATAAAGAGACACATTAATGGTGATGGGTCCCCCCTAATTTTTCTAACTTTTATTAAAATTTCTTATTAAATTTATGGAACTCTTAGATAGGTAAAACCTTGATCCCAAGTCCATATCCCATATAAACCAGGCCTCATGATCAGATGTAGGGAGAATATGTCTGTCAGATCACTCCCTTAAGAGATTTTATTCTTTCAAACATTATCAATTCTCATTCCAACCCCATGACAAATCACACATGCTAGGAGTCACATTCATTCACTCAGTAATGGTTATTGGCCAAGATTTTGATCTTATCTTTGGGTAATTATTTTCTCACTATGGAACAAGTTGTAGCTGCTCCCTGGTATATTCTGCAGCTGTTTCCACATTTATTACAAAGACACCCACAGCTCACCACCAGCACCTTAAGTACTATAAAATAAATATCCAAATGGCTTCAGGAGCAAGTGAAGAAATCGTACGGATCTCTTTTGCTGCTGGCATCAAAGTGTGAAGCAAGCTGTTTTCTGGGTTAACAGCATATGTTGGATAAAACAAGCCTTTAGCAAAGGAAAACCTTGCCCCACATGAATCGAAACGAAAACCCTCCTACATGGGAAATGAAAGGAAATACAACATTTTGTAAAACTTCCCTTTAGTGAGACTTATGCATCTAATCTGTTGATGCCAATGGATCAAGCAGTAATGCTTAGACTGGTCCTCACTGTTAGAAGTAGGAAGTTATATTACAGCAGGCGTCCCTAAACTCGGCCCTCCAGCTGTTTTGGGACTACAACTCTCATCATCCCTAGCTAACAGGACCAGTGGTCAGGGATGATGGGAAATGTAGTCCCAAAACAGCTGGAGGGCCAAGTCTGGGGATGCCTGTATTACAACATATTCAGTGCTATGGGATCAAGGTTGCCAAAGAAGCGATTAATGTTGGGTTGAAATAACGACAGACGAGTAGCAAGTGTCATGTGAGAGGCATCTCTCGAGCAAGTCCCGAGAAGACTCTTTTATTGATTATTACAACATTGCCACAGGTGCGCTCGTTGCTGATTGGTTGACACAAACACAAAGCAACTTGTTGCTGATTGGTTAACACAAGTACAAAGCAAAGGTTACATATAGGCATTAATCACCAATAGATTAAAGGCTGGGAAAGGGAGCACAGAACTAGACAGGCATGAAACCTCCTAATTAAATTATAACTAGTGATTGATATAGCAAGACTAAAACAATTACTAATGATTGATCATAACATGAAAGAATATAATAATCACGTTCCGTAGATATGGTCAACTATGCATTAAGAACAGGTCAGAGTATAATGTTTTCATGAACTTAATATGAACTGAACATCCTAGGGAGATGAGGGAATGTCTTGGTATTTAGAACGGGTTGTGCAGCATGTGCAGAAGGAAAGCTTGGAAGCAAGACTTCCCATCATGCCACAGTTATGTGCAGAAGCAATGCTTTCCTTCATGCCGTAGTCATGTGCAAAAGCAATGCTTTCCTTCAGATTAAAAATGATCACATTGAAGCATGGGGCATCTTCCTTGCTCTCTGTAGATGGATTCTCATATTGCTGACATAGGTATATCTTGGCTGTGGCAGGTGAAGGGAGGGCCACAATAATGACACAGGAGACTGGCATTGGGTTGAATTAGGCCACAACATTATTGATTACAGGAAAGAGTATGTTTGGCTAGGCTAAGCATCAGAGCTTGCAGGGCAGCAGTTGAAGAAGGAGCAAAAAGGGTTTTCTTGTGTGTGTGTGTGTGTGTTTCTTTGTGGCTGATTGGCTGCTCTCCCTGTTCAAAGGTCAGAGGGGGCAGGGTTTCTGTTGAGGCAGGTGATTAGCTGTGGGAGGAGCTTATCAGAGCTTGCAGGGCAGCAGTTGAAGAAGGAGCAAAAAGGGTTTTCTTGTGTGTGTGTGTGTGTGTGTGTGTGTGTGTGTTTCTTTGTGGCTGATTGGCTGCTCTCCCTGTGCAAAGGTCAGAGGGGGCAGGGTTTCTGTTGAGGCAGGTGATTAGCTGTGGGAGGAGCTTATCAGAGCTTGCAGGGCAGCAGTTGAAGAAGGAGAAAAATGTGTTTTCGTGTTTGTGTGTGTGTGTGTGTTTCTTTGTGGCTGATTGGCTGCTCTCCCTGTGCAAAGGTCAGAGGGGGCAGGGTTTCTGTTGAGGCAGGTGATTAGCTGTGGGAGGAGCTTATCAGAGCTTGCAGGGCAGCAGTTGAAGAAGGAGCACAAAGGGTTTTCTTGTGTGTGTGTGTGTTTCTTTGTGGCTGATTGGCTGCTCTCCCTGTGCAAAGGTCAGAGGCGGAAGGGTTTCTGTTGAGGCAGGTGATTAGCTGTGGGAGGAGCTTATCAGAGCTTGCAGGGCAGCAGTTGAAGAAGGAGCAAAAAGGGTTTTATTGTGTGTGTGTGTTTCTTTGTGGCTGATTGGCTGCTCTCCCTGTGCAAAGGTCAGAGGGGACAGGGTTTCTGTTGAGGCAGGTGATTAGCTGTGGGAGGAGCTTATCAGAGCTTGCAGGGCAGCAGTTGAAGAAGGAGCAAAAAGGGTTTTCTTGTGTGTGTGTGTGTGTGTGTGTTTCTTTGTGGCTGATTGGCTGCTCTCCCTGTGCAAAGGTCAGAGGGGGCAGGGTTTCTGTTGAGGCAGGTGATTAGCTGTGGGAGGAGCTTATCAGAGCTTGCAGGGCAGCAGCTGAAGAAGGAGCAAAAAGGGTTTGATCCATCTTTTAGATTTAGGGGAGCTAGTCTCAAACGTTTGTTGGGGGAGACCTAGGTTTTTTTGTGGGGGGAGTTATTTGTCCTGTCTTCACACTTTTTATGATGGAGGACCGCTGTAGCCACCCCCAACAACATGTTCTCAAGATGAATGAATTTATGAATGAATGAATGAATGAATGAATGAATTTATTAATACGGTCACAGACCAGCGCCAACACACACAACATCACAGATCATAAAAAATATATATAAAAAATACAAAGGGCAATATAAGTATAACAAGCATTTAAATATAAAAAATTAAAATTAGTTATTATTAATTAAAAATTTTTAAAATTAATTATTATTAATTAAAAAATTAAAATTAATTATTATTAATTAAAAAATTAAAATTAATTATTAGCATGCCCCCTGCTATCAACACTTGGGGGTTTGGTCACCATGGGATACCACTTGCTTCCTGCGACTAATTGCAGCCGCACAGAATTTGGCTACATTTAATGTAGTCTTGGGATTCTTGTCCTCTAGCAGCGGTTCCAAACCATGGTGTTCCGACTCCTTCCCGGACTTCCGCAAAACAGGAGCAATAAAAGTCGAACGTATGTCCTCATAAAAACGACAACGCAACAGTACATGTGCAGCAGTCTCAACCTCCAACGAGCCACAGGGGCAGACCCGCGCTGCGTATGGTTTACCCTCAAATCTGCCCTGAAGTAAGGCAGAAGGGAGAACGTTGAATCTGGCGAGGGTAAAAGACCGTCTGTATTTAGGTACCTGGAGACCTGACAGATAGTTAGCTGGAGAAAAACCTCTCCCATAGTCCCTTATTGCAGGATGTTTGATCATTTCACTCATGTGGCATTGTAATTCTACATCCCAGATACGCTGGCGAATTGTGGTCCTAGCTTTCTCGAAGCCTGTGGCTATCAGGGTCTGCTGTGGGATCCCCAAGCCTTTAAGCTTTTCCAGCAGTGTAGCCTTCCATCTGGATTGGTAGGTATCCAATAAGGTCAAAGGTGCCAGCCC